CGTCCCCAACAGCCTGTTACCCTCTCATGAAGAAGCATAGGCTACTCACCAGCATTCTCCATCCAAACCTTTCCTAGGCATTCCTTTACAGCTTTTTCTAGTTGTTATTCATCGTTTTCATATTTGATTTCATTAACCGACGTAATGTGTTCTTTTGCCTTCCTAGAGCTTGCCTCGTAGTGCAGCTTGATGACTTGAGTAATATATGCCCTATCCATTTCCATCGTCTTTTCTTAATTTTCTCTTCAGCTTGAAGCTGGTTTGTTCTCTCCCACAGAAGGCTATTGCTGAAAGTCATCAAACGGCATCATGAGGCCAGTAGTAATTTGGAATCCTGAATGTAAACGGAAAAAAGGAAGACCAAGGCACACACTGTGCTAATGATTCGAAGCAAACATCTGAAGGATGAAGGACAACTGGGAAGGATTTTCCAGGACTGAGCTGATTGAAGAGTTCTGGTCATCAGCGTATACTTCTCCATGTGAGATAACAGGCGTAAGGAAAATTAACTGCAATATCATTCTAGATGATATAATGTATATAGATCTCCGAATACTTACTTCATCTAAGAAAGTAGAACAGATGAGTTTGCTACAATTGTTAAGTCATTTACATAAAGTGAAGACGAAAGGGACCGAAGATTGCATTTTGGTGAATTCCACATTTTATATAGTACTAGGTTGGTAGAACCTCATTCAACGAATCGTCTTCCACCATTAAGAAAGATATCTATCCCGTTTATTATTTCATAAAAGATTCCGAAACATTTCTGTTCTAATTCTAGGCCCAGAATAGTGACCTTGTTAAAGGTTTTACTTAGATCTATAGAAATTCCGTCAACCGGAATATCTTTATGCTTCAACATAACCAAAATTTCTGTTGCTATGGGCGGATTTGTCAACCATGTAAAGCCTTCCTGTGGTTTTTCTACTAACTGGTGATTCCTTTGCGCTTTATTGAGAATAACAGATATGATACCTTACGTGGTGCTCATCTGGTTTTATCTGGCTTAAATTTCACTATGTCGAGAATTACTGTTAGTACATTAGTTAGAAAACGTTTAATTATTATGTGGGAGTTGCAAATCCATTCAAATTCCGAAGCTTTCGAGGATTATATGGAAAGATTTAAAATCCAGAGCATGACTAGGAAAGATGTTAAGTATGATAAGACTTTGGATTTTTCCTTATATTCTTCAAAAAGGATGTCTATAGCTTACTAAAGGCTTTTCAACTTCAGATAACTCTGTTTCATCTCCCTGCGCAACACTCAATAATCTACCACTAGATAATGTAAAGCGTACTGGTTTTGAATGTCATGAAGGAGCGAAATTTTATCAAGTGTTTCGTTATAACAACCAGGTTATAGAATGTATCCTTGAGTGTCAGTTTGGTAATCAAATTCACGCGCAGCTGCGTGATCGATTGATTGCAGGAGTTATCATGCCAAATCTGGACAGTGAGCTTATACAACTGCCGAATTGTTCCTTCCAAGATGATAGGATTGAGCATATTAAGTATGAAGTCGTGTATAAGATTCGCCCTTACGATACGAAGAATTTCACTATTTTACTTATTTGTGCAAATTTGGCGTGCACTCAAGGCTATGTGGGCAGGCGTTTATTTAACGATAGTCCTCGTTCTCATGAAAACATGTATAAGACGTCATTGAGGATTATCAAAGCAAGTTGCAGAGTTAGGCACAGGGTCGACAAGTAGTAGATTTCATGTGTCTTTCGTCACTTCAAATGCTGTTGGTGTATTAAAATGAGACACATCAAGTCAGTTTGTAAAACTACTGTTCATTTCGCCACCAGTAATATCAGACTTTGTAAGTCGTATCCTATTTGAGTGATCATAATAATCACATACTATCCTCATTTGCAACTTCGAACAATCCATTTCATATTCCAAAGCACTTATATTTGTCCACTGGCTTTTTCACCATTTTATTGTTGATACTGATAGCATCAAATCCATCAGTTCAGTTGTAAATTTGAAGTCAATAAATCTTCACCCACAAATTGTGAGTCTTTCGTCACTGAATGTGGACCACCTAACCTAAGCCCATAAAATTAAGGAAAACTACGAGGGCAGTTTCCCTCATTGACCATTAAGCATGGTTCTAATGAGATGCTTAACAAGTTATTGTTAACTACGTAACCGAAGCGCGATAAACTACGCTTACTTCCGAAGCCCTCTCACTTTGATACGCAAGCGAGAAATGAGTCCATTTCAATTTCCGTCTTTAATTCTAAAACCATTGAGAAGATTCTACATTATAGAGAGTCTGTAGTGGCATTGGACCATAACTACACAATCCACAAAACTGAATACGAGATTACTCGGGAAATAGACATTCGGTATTTAACGCGGAGAAATACCTAACGATGGAGAAGTCGCGAATAAGGAATTGAATGATTTGGAGTTGATCGAATGGCATGGCTAGGCCATGCAGGTGTGGTTCCTACTGAATACTACCTTATATCTTTTATTCATATTAAATATATTGTTCTTTCTCTAGCCTAAGCTTGTTCTTGATCATGTATTGGTAGTTGTTAAGATACAGTGAGTTGGTGTAGACGATTATGTGACTTCCACGTAAGATCTTATAGATTAGACAGTTGTATCGTGACAAATCTACAATTTTAGGATTAGGTCTATTATTAGAGCAGTACTAATATCATAGTAGACCATAATTCTACAAGTCTATACCCACCACACAAGTGGATAGATACATGATTGACCTAAGAAGAAGACGTGCAACAGATCACGGGATCTAGATTCCCGTGTAGGATGAGGCGGTTGTAGTATTCGTACAAATACCACATAAATCTCAGCTAAATTACACATGTGGCTGAACCAATTGTATGCCGTATGACGCATCACTTAAGTAGTCTTTCGAAAATAATGATGATCACGGCTTATTGAACCACGCATCATTGATAGGTGCATGTAGCAGTTATGCTACATCACGCTTGTGTAATCTGTTCTTGCGAGTACGTATCTTCAGTGGTGTCACATTTATTCCATACACTCATCAAAGTAGTTAAAGCACCTAGATACCACGAAAGAGTAATCCATGTTAAGTACTAAAAATGACGTGTAACTTCGAAATGGACAGAGCCCGTACTCCACTTCTTTCCTATGTCGTATAACAAACAATAAAGATAAGCTCTTAAAGCCTCCTGGTTTCAACATCTAACGAACTCCTCTCGTCTGTTGTGATGAACAATATCTTGACAGGTTTGCGATGACGTAAGTATAAGTTACTATTTTGTTATGCGATTCTTCTGGTTTCTATATTATTTGCTATGGGATTGTAGACATTTTCGCAGTGGTATCACTATTTGTCCAGAGTTCCGGATTTGAAGTTAATAACTTAAGTTCAGCCGTATGACAATCATTAACCAAATATTCCTCTTTGGTCTGAAAAATAGGACTAGCCATGATACCCATTCAATATTTTTTCAATTTTGATTATTTCAGGTACATGTTTGGCAGCATTTCTGGAGGCTCAATACTCATGTCCACCCAAGTTGTAGTGACTTAAAAATGGGTGTCATGAGGACAGTAGAACCTATCTATTCAGAGATGCTAGAGTGGTCGTAGGACTACTCTTTCTTCAAACAAGACGGTTCGACCAGCATTACTCGTTCTATGGAACTACTGTCTGATGGCTTATTGTCAATCAAGAATCATTTATTCATATACTTTGATGAATTTTAACCTTATCAACGACTTGAATTACCATCATCAGTGGATTTCACTGAAGATGAAAATAGGGACAGTAGCATAGCATTCAGAGGAAGTGAAGAACATGTTAATCTCAAGTGAATACAAACGTTCACCATTCACTGGATGAAATCAGAGGATGTGACACATACACAAAACCAGTTCCAAGGCTTGAAACCAAGCCTCATAAAGTTCTCCTTAAAATAGCAATTATTTAAGCTTTTGAATATGAAGGACTTAAGTGCGACCTAGTAACGGAGTACTGTATCTTAGAACCTCCCGCCACTTTGGTATTTACGTTAGTTTATTCTCATTTTAAAACTTTGGCTAGATGCCTGGAAATTAGAGATTCAGAAAAGTAAGCCAGTTTGTAGGCATACAATTTACTACCTACGAACAGTCAAGTTTTAGTGGCCCGGAATCGGACACCAGCTATATCCTATATTTGATTGTTATTAAAATATACATGTCGGCTACCACTGTATAAAATCACCGACTAAGACCGCGTTAGTGAATCACGGAATTAAATAGGCCGAATATGAGAATGGATTTTTAATATGTATATTTCATGCACTTATTGATTTTAACAGGCAATCAGGGAATGAAGCAAAGAGAAGAAAGTGAAGCGAAATGACGCGTAGTGGAGGATGCGTGTGAGCCAACTTATTTTAACTAAGCGTTAATCAATATTTATAGTCACACAAAACCAGGCTACAGAGATAATATGTGTAAACAGGCATATGCTCATATAAAGACAGTCCATGTTGATAAGTGAATAATTGATAAAGTCAAAATGTGAGTCAATAAAAATGGATAAATTTGCTAAAATAAGTTATATGGGCTTAACATAGCAGCTGACACCACAAAGTATTAGGATCCCTTAGCGGTTGAAGTGGTATAAACAACTTCTCAGCAATTCTTCAACAGGAAACTTGGTACATTCTTGAGAACTTAGAACAAAATGCCATGATACTTTCGTTTTTTCTTGTTTCACATACTCAGGCTCGCGATCGGATGGATCAACGTTCAACTGTTACCAGGTATGAAGGCTCATTAAACGTATGCTTATCTGACCAATCGAATCAGCATCAAATTTGGAAGAAAGCAACAGTTAATGAAGAACTGTCCTATAATTGCGACTGTGAAATACCCATAGATAAACTTTACGAAAATATCATTCCACTAAATGTTTCATAGGACATTGGATTTGTTTAAAATTTCTAGTTCTATAACGACCTAGGACACAAAAGAGTGAACACTTCTAAAATGGCTAAAAAGAGAGGAGAGGTTGCATTGCAAGAAGAAATTGTAGACGAAGATAGTTGGAACGCGCTGCGTATGAAGCAAGGGCTAATAGGTATCCAGTCAAACGTTTCTTAGTTTTTTCAGTTGTCGATGTCTATCAAGAATGGTGTGGTCCTTGTTCCGCTGTTGTTGGTCTGTTCAAACGACTCAAAACAGAAATAAACGACGATTTATTGCATTTTGCTGTTGTAAAAGCAGATACTGTTGAAACGTTTGAACTATATCGAGGGAAATGCGAACCATATTTTCTATTTTTTGGAGTGAGTTGCCATATTTCATTCTAAAGAAACAGGGTGGATGCCTTGTTGCAGCAGTAAAAGGAGTTAATCCTCCAGAGTTGGAGCAGTGTGTCTTGAGCAAGTTGAAGCAGGAACACGACGTCATAAGTGGCGAAGCTGAAAGGGTTGAGGTGCACTAAGAATTATGTTTTAAATTGTCCCGTAGATCCGTGATCCTATGGTTATCGCTAGAGAACTGAAAGAGGCGGAGATTAAACAAAAAAGGGAGGAGGAGGAGGGTAAGGAACTTTATTCTTAATCTTGCTGAAAAATCGTAATCAAGAGGTTGAACAGGAACTTACCTTAGCAGTACTGAAACCTGATGTTGTGCAGTCTGGGGTAGCAGAACAAATTATTAGAGAAGTTAGAAACCATTTTCAATTTGATTTTGCTTTAGCTCGAAGAAAAAGGTATTCAAATACTTGAGAGCCAAGAACATTTATTTACCACTGAAGAGGCTGAAATCTTCTATGAAAATGTTAAAGATCAGCCTTATTTTCAAGATCTTGTTGGATTTATGACATCTGGTCCAAGCAAAATTATAGTCTGTGCAATAAAAGGCAAGCAGGGCATTATTGACAAGCTAAGGGGACTAATTGGAACGTCGATTTTTGAAAAGGATTCAGAGGAAATGAATGAAACGTAAGCGATGGTCGCAAATTATTTGATGCCTCCTTTGAAAACTGACTGTTAAGACTGAACTCCGTACTTTAGTTTCAGTTTGGGAAGGACAGGAGGCCTGATGGCCTGTGTTAGTCCTGGTAATGGTGATCTCTCAGTTGATCCAACTTTCTTTTGAAAGAATCGACGGATGGAGCCTCAACCACGTGCTGAGGTAACGAATTCCACTCGTTGATGATTCGATGGGAAAGTCGATAGTCAGTTGACAAGTAATTTGTTCTTGGCTTGTGAATTTTTTTGGAGTGTTCTCGTAAATTCTCTGTTTTGGAAGACAAGGAAAATGAGGGTATATCAGGTGCAAATTTGGCACTAAGCCATTTGAAAACTGTAATCAAGTCGCCTCTAGTTCTGCGATATGACAACAGGAAAAGGTTCAGCTTGGCCAGTCGACCTTTATACGGTAGCTTCTCTATTCCGGGAATCAGTTTAGTTGCCGTTCTCTGAACCTTTTCCAGAAACTCACTGTTTTTTTTAAGCAGGGGCTGGCCGTATGTATGCAGTACTCACGTTTAGGACGTACGAACACTATATAAAGTCAAAAACGTCTTAGCGTCGACATGGCTAAAAGCCCTACGTATTGACCATAACGTTCTAAAACCTTTGGCGGCTATTGCATGGCGGTGTGCAGTAGTCTTTAAGTCTTCTCTGACGATTACTCCTAAGTCATTATATGTCTGGACGACAGGTAGCTCAGTGTTATTCGTCGTGTATGTATCTGTACCTTGATGACCGATATGCGTCACAACACATTTGGAAGTATTAATCGGCAACTGCCAGGTTTGAAACCATTCAGATAATTTCTTCAGGTCATTTTGGAGTTCTAAGCTATCACCCTTACATTGTATCGTTCTCCATATCTTTACATCGTCAGCATATAGCAAGACCGATGATGATAGGAGACGAGGAAGGTCATTTACATACAAGAGGAATAGCACTGGCCCCGAAACTGTACCCTGGGGCACTCCACTAAGCACAGTTCCCCAGCTAGATAACTTTGAGTTCACTCGTACTCTTTGTTGACGCCCAACTAGGAAGTCTTTTATCCACATAAACAGATTGCCTCCAATCCCGAAATTTTTTAACTTATATAATAGCCGGTTGTGCGGATGTAATTCATCGGGCCCCGTGGATTTACCTATGTCAAGCTTATTTAGTAGACCGAAGACATCGAGTTCTTTAATGGTCACGCTATCCAGTGTATGTGTGAGAAGATCTGTATGCGCTGATGGGAAGGGTGCTTCTATGGTGTATACATTGCTGAAGTAGTTTGAGAACACTTGAGCCTTACCAAAGTCGTCCTCCACTAGTGACGCAGCAGTACTGTCCATCCATAGAGCAGGAATATTTCCTCTTCTCTTTGTCCTTTGGTTTATATAAGAATACAAGCGTTTGGGACATTCTATGGATTCCTTAACAGTGTTTTCTTCGTACAACTTTCTAGACTTACGGAATGTTGAGGCACAGGTATTCCGGACTTTTCCATACTGGGATTTAGTTTCATCAGTTCCCAGTAACCTAAATCTATCCCACATTTTTCTTCTCTTACGGAAAAGGATGCGAACCTCCCTAATGAACCATGGTGGGGAGTTTATCGCCCCCCTTGGTATAGTCCAAGGGATGTGGGGTGTGGTAACTTTTAAGCATGAATTTCGAAATGCGTCCCAGCCCGTTTCAACTGAGAACTGTGGGTCTATTGTCCAATCTACTAACGATGCTAAGTGCATGATACCTGATATATTTGCTTTCCAGACGTTAGGTTTGGATTGGGCTGACGCGTGCTCGGGACTGACAGTTATATGGAAGTCGAAAATTAAAACTGCGTGATCACTTTTACCTAGGGGTGGCATATAATGAAGGTTCACAACGTCATCCACATAGTGAGTGAGTATCAGATCAAGTAAGGATGATTCAGTGTCCGGGTCGTACCTAGTCGCTTCTTTCACATGTTGCACTAGTGCACATGTGATAACCGCATCACCTAGTTCCTGCTCTAATAAATTATCTGACAATTCAGTTCGCAGATTTTCCCAGTCTACTATTGGTGCATTAAAGTCCCATAAGATTAGACATTGACCACTTTGTGACCAAGTATTGAGACTGCTTAGCAGGACTTCATTTACCTCACAGCTTGGACTGCGATAGACCAAACCAATCAGCAGCTCTTGTCCCTTAGATTTCAAGCGAAGACTAACTAATTCACACGTCCCACTCTCATGGGATATACTGTCGAGAATGGCAAATGGGATAGCATTCCTAATGAATAGAGCTACTCACCCTCCTTTACGCTTTTGTATTCTGTCGACCCTTACTAACGTAAAACCCTCTAAATCAAGTTCCATACTATCTATAGCCTGTGTCAGTCAGGTTTCTGTAACTGCGATTATGTCTGGCTTTGTAGAGTCAATCTGTACACCTAGTTCCGATCGCTTATTAAGTAAGCTCCGGGCAATAATGCAGCAGATGTGAAGCCTATTTAAGTGGCTTCGGCATCATTCTCTGTCGAAGCCTTACAACCCAAAAATTTACAATTTTCAAGTCCTTTTCGCCAGCGTCTAATCTATGTTGTAGTCCTTTTTCGGCTTCTCGTCTTTTAACACGGTCTACCAACAGTAAGTCCTTTCGCATAAAGACTCCTGAACCCTTTAATTTGTGTCCATTTTGTAAAATTAGGTCACGTCCGTTCGAAGATTTGAACACTACTTTAAGCAGTCTGGAATGATTTGGTTTCAAGTCTGCTAGACTTCCTAGTCTGTACACCTTTGGCAAGGTGACCCCAGTGATATTTTGAGGCATGAGTTGATTAAGCAGCTGCTTAATCAGCACAATGTCATGCTCAAAACGAGCTTTAGGTTCAGAGCTCTCGCTCTCCTTGATTCTATGAAAAATAGCTGATCTGTCGCTATGATCAGCTTTCGATTTGACGACTACTTTCTTCCTTACAACCTTTACCCACTCGTCAATGGTGCTGGGAGAAGCAACAACAGTTGCGTCAAACCTAGAGTTGGATTCTGGAGGGTTGTCGACGACCTGAGAGTCAGGTTATGTTTACCACTTGAAACCGATCGAGCCTTGCGATTGCGGTTTCTAGGCGTTTCCTGTGGGATCCCATCTGGGAGACGGGGAACAGAAGAACCTACTTTCCTTGAGCTTTTGTTTAAGGCAGGCCCCTTTGTAGACTGCTTTTCCTTCTTTGACCGGCGTGAGTCATCTACTATCGAACTAACCTTAGTTTGCCTCATGTCGATTTGTGTGTTGACAGATCGAGTGCTGTTTGACGTGTTCCGACTACGCCTGCTAAAACACTTCTTTGCAGCATCAACCAGTGAGATGGCCTCGGTTAACAGTCTGTTTGCATCCGAACAGCACTGTTGACAAAGCCATACGCAACCCTTCTTACTGAACCGTTTGAAAGTCGCAGGCGTTAAGTTCGTGCAAACTTCGTGTTACCAGCTTTTGCACTCGTCGCACTGCATGCCGCTTTCAACGGGATAACGGCAACCCGGACGTTGGCAACTGCTTTTTTTACACTGTCCGGTTATTTAAAAGGGGTCCTTTTCAAAAAGAAACGAGATGCGATGATACTCAGAAACAAAAAAAATAATCAGTGACCAAAACGTGAAGAACTGTAGATTGTTAGGACCAAAAGTACTAACAGATACAATTGAAAATGAGGTACTCAAGAGTACCAACGACAAAACTAATTGAGAGAACGGTAAAAACGGCACTCTAGTCGAATACTTTAGCTGAAATAAATCCAATTAAAGTGAAAAACAGTAGGCTTGATGCGTAATAAACGATCAAAACAATGAAATTACTCAGCGAGGAACAATACCACTATCCTTCTTAAATGGCGCGCTAGGTGCTTCCTTTGAAAACCGACTGTTAAGATTGAACCCCGTACTTTAGAAACAAAAGAGATTTATCTTGTACTAATGTAATAAGTAGTATCATTGCATATAGTGTTCCTAGTGGTGACTTTTCGATGAGTTCAATTTTTTTTCTAATAGTACAGCTGGACAAGTGCACAAAGATAGCAAGAATATCGTGGTCACATGTGAAAGTAATGTATTGCAATTAAGGTTATGTTCACAAAACGTTTTAGCGCACTTGTTATTTCATTCGAATACCACTATTTTTTAGAGACCATCTTCCTTCTCACATTTTACTCAAAATTATTGATTTAAAGGCAATGCCTCTCTGTAAATATCCTACGGTCTTACAGTTATAGGGGCTGATTTGTATTTCGTTTTGCAAGCGTGAAATACTTTGATGCATGCTTTTTAATCATATAGGATTTTCCGACAGAAATATTATGAATCATTTTCTTAGTTATTTTTAAGATCTATAACTGCAATTAGACAATACTTCTCTGAAAAAATAAATAATTGGTCACGATTTTCAAGCTTTTATCAGGTTTACGTGAATATGTGCCAAAGAACCAACAAAATACAGTTTGGGGTGAGGCTTGCTTGTATAGCACCATATGTTACTTATAGTGAGAATTTTTAACGAAGATAATACGAATAATATCTACTTGATGTTTAATCCTCAACGGAAATAATTATACAGTCTCAAGTAACATAAATTAAAGTAATATAACGGAAAACTAATTACTTAAGCCTATTTCTGACTTCCATAGTATATGATAATGCCAAAGAACTATATATTCAGATGCTTTGGTATTCCAATACCGTCCAGGTACTCATTCACATCACAATAAATTATCCTCCATATTGTAGTGATAGTATCACCTATCAAACTTGTGCTTATTCTTAATCTAAAACGAGTTGATGGTTTTGAACTTGCGTATGACTTGTGTTTAGAAAACTAACCTCTATATTTTATTGACCAGACGCGATGTTTGAACGAATCAAATTATTGTTATTTATAACATTTAAAATGTGCACAGCCTATTTAATAAATTTGGTTCTGATCACCTGATCGTGATGATTCATTTTCAACCACTGATTAAATGTAAGTTATTACATCCTATAACAGGATTGATTTTAATTAAATATGACATGACTTAGATTGTCCTGATGTTGATTTCCTGACTTAAAATTGATTGGCAAATGAAGATTCTGTGCAGAATAACCCAATATTGTCATGGTGATTCAAGTTAGTGTAAAATAGATGGTGTTTTAAGCGAATAATATTGGCCTCCAGTCTCAGAGTAAACGTCGATTCCAAGATGCGGTTACATCTAACTGAAGAGTAACAGGCAGGACTAGATATGCATCTTGGATTTCATTGCTAACCACGATCATTTTTTTATATTAAAGTTGATTTTAATGAAAGGTCAGTTTAGGATTAAAATATTTAGTTTTGATAGGCTTAATTTTATTGTATCATTTGATTAGATAACTTCTGATCATGATTATTTTGAAGTATGTTTTACCTATCGGGTAGTTGGTTTATGTTGTATTAAGTACGGTTCTTTTTCTGTGAACCGTATCTTAAAAAGGATGTTCTGTTATTTGAAATTAGATTTGTAATTGCTTTAATGAATGACTATCGTTCGGCCAAATCACATTAGTGCGGGAAGTCAATTAAAGTTCTTTAAAAACAAGATCCCGTAACAAAGTCTTTTTTGAGGAACATTCCAGATGCACTGCAATTGTTACGAAGTGCTTGGTCGGAAAATGCGGCTTCATTCTTGACACTAATGAATAACGTTTATTTTTTTAGGATAAGGGCAAAATATGGTACTGGAATAATCAAGAATGCGATCCATGCATCAAGCTCTAAAGAAGAGGCTACAAGGTATAGTATTTAAATACTTATTATCATATATAAATGGCTGTTTTAAGATTTTAATTTTCTGGTTATTATTAACGTATAGTTTATCTTTTAAGTATTTATGAACATAAACTAGATGACAATGAATCTTGAGGCTGCTTTTATGGTGATCTACGCGTTTTTGTGAGCCATTTATTAATTTTGAAATGTGCAAATTTTCATGATAGGTTTTCTGTCTGACTCAACTCAGATTTTGTAAACAGTTAAAGAGAAATTATTAACCGATTAATAAAAATCAGGTAGAAGTAAGTTGGGAAAATAGAAACTGCATTTAATTCGCCATGAACTTGGGGACGAATACAAAGTATAAAATATTACTTCGCAGTCATTGAGTAAATGATTATCTGACAGAAAATAATTTATTGAATCCGTTAAATTGGTATATACTTTGATTAGGTCTAGTTAGCTGTTGAAAGTTATTATACTGGCAATTTAATAACACCTTTTGAAAGTTTAATAACTTCCAGTAGGAATATTTTGTTATTCCTTTATGTTAACTTGGAGTGTCTAGTACTATCTCAAGCCAATGTGGGCTATTCTAGCTTACAGACAGACTGATTTATTCACCTTGAGTCACACTTTGATATTGCAATTATTCGCTTACTGATCTTAATAATTTTTGTATAAGCGCGCATGTGACTCGCTTATCTTATTTATTACATGTCTTTAGTTTATGTATGGTCATAAATTTTGCGTCATGCTTGGTCAAAAGGAGTTGGCACACTTACCTTCTGCTATCTCCTTTTCCTCTTCATTTCTCTGATTGTCCGTTTAGATTAATGAGTGTATGAAATATATGTATCCAATAATCATCCTCGTATTTTTCTCATTTATTCCGCTATTAACTAACGCAAATTAAGTCGATAATTATCTGCGAGGGTAGCCGGAATGTATATTTCGCTAGCACCATCGTCCAAATTGGATTTCAATCAGTGGGCCACCTTCCCAATGCAATTAAAATGATGATGAGTCCGTTGCAGTAATTTTAAGACTGTCTAACAGAAGTTACGTTGTAAGACATACTAGTTTGTTAGTTAGTTGAATAGTGGCTTCTGAAAAGTGCACACCGCCAATGCAAGTATATGTGGTTTCTTTGAATAGTTAACTCTTGATAAAAAAAGAAATGCTTTTGTCAAAAGATATAGGTTCATTGTCGTTTATTTGCAAATTATGGGGTCAGTCTAGAATACGATTTAAGAATTGCTTAAGATAACCTCAAAAATTGATGAGAAACTTTAATTTGCTAGGATAGGCCCTAGGTTAAATTGGAAAAAAGTAAGAGTATTTTATGTAAGATTGTGAACCAATCAATGTCAGACCACCATTGAAGAAATGGAAGCGCTGAACAGCCATTTCGTTCTAGTACGGGATCCCTCAGCAATCCACATCCATGATCCCGGACTCGAATATGAAAGATGGTTGCACAATATGGTGGATTGGTTGTAGTTAGACATTAAAACCGTTGGACGCCCCCTCGGTGGTCCAGGAATTAAGCGTTTGCTCAAGATCAAAGGTCCTGGGTTCGGCATCGTGTATACACACTGATGAGGAGTCTCATACTAGGACAAAAATGGCCTTCCAGTGCTTACAGGTTTTTAATAGCGGTCTGACATTTTTGTTTCATGATTTCAATCAAAACTCAATAATCTCCACAACCCTGTGCCGATAAAATCATCTCCTTTAGAACTGAGTTTTGATTTCATAATTTTGGTCTACAGAAACATTTGTGAGGAATGGATTCTGTTGATCCGTTTTCCGCTTTTCTAATCCCTGCCATATACTCTCTCCGCTTATTAAACTTGATAAGGATTGAACTCTTTGGTTTCTTGATTTAGCTGTCAACTGGATGATTACGTAAATTATATGTTTGTGTTAGACAGTTCGATATAAAGGTGGATGATTAATTATTGACGAAAGTGATAGCTATTTTCTCCTTCTAAAGTTTTCATTCCAAACCTTAGGTATTTCAGCCTGAGATTTTTTAAATCGAAGTTGGGCTTTAATGATATCTTTGATTCAATATATGATTGCTTAAAATATAAACCAAAGAGTTACTAGTTTCATGCTGCTGACTTAAGTAATGATAAGAATGACCTTATCAATTTATTTTAGAGATTTTATACAAATTAACTTGGACTATGACAATAAATAGGTTGATATTTATTGCTCATGCCTTAGTTAACAAACTTCAGGCAACATTATGGTTCACAAAATAACATAATCAGCTGTTCTGTAAGAAATATTATTGACTGCAGTTTTACTTCCTGATAAAAATATTGTCTCATTCCCTCTACATACCGTTCGTGTGATACTCAACATAAAGTGTGCATTTCCAGTTTCAAATGGTAAAATATCAATTTGTATTAGGTTCTACATTCTCGTTTGGTAAATGAAAAACTACCATATGTCACTAGCGACATTAAAAACGATCATTGATATGATTGTATGTAATCGTGTGTAACAAAGTATTGTCTAACCTGTCCTCTGATTATTTATTCTGGGTCGTGTATCCTGGTTCTGACATAATGTGACTAGTCTGATTATCGCACTAATGTATTATCGTAGTATTACTTGAATGAGAGAGGAATATTGGGAACATTCATTATGTCATAGAGACTATTAACTAGTGCAAGAATTAGTCATGTGAATCCTGAATTTATCCAAATAATGTGCTCAATATAGGTTTATGCATTAATTGATTAATCCAAAAATGTAAAGCTTCTGGTGGGTGAGAAATTACAAATAGAAATCTTTTTATGTTTTTATGAACAACCTACATCTGGTTGCTTATATCTATACTTTCTCACGTACGACATTAAATAGCTTATATCCAATAGTCTAATATAATTTGTAGTTACATTTTAATTCGTTGGAACAAATTATAACAATTTTAAGCGTTTGAAACATTATTTGAGTTAGTTGATCGTTTGCCGATCAAATTTGATGTATTCAATGTCTAGTCATAATCTAAAATGTCGTTTCAGTCTTACTTCATATCTATAAAAATAATAACGTTATTATTTAAGTTTATTCTTATTTGGTTATTTAAGTTAAACAATATGTACTTTCATCTTTCTTTACATATTCGGCAAAACAATCGCTTAAAATAAACAGAGAACTAGCGTTTTTCTACCCAGGTTACGAGCCGCCAGTTATTACAGTGAAACGTACCCAATCAATTGGTAAAGGATATGAAGAAACAGTTTATGGCACTGGAAAACATGAAATCGAACGAACAGTTGCAGTATTACGGCCACAAGCTTATGAATTATATAAAGATGAAATAGTAAAACAAATTAAAAATGCTGGATTTACCATAACACTGGAGAAAGTTATACAGCTGACTAAAGAACAAGTAGAAGAATATTATAAGGAACATATGGGACAACCATATTTTGGGGAATTAACTACTTTAATGTCCAGTGGTCCATGTTTGGCTTTATTATTAGCTAGAGAAGTAAGATTATTATTTTTAAGATAATCAAATGAACTCAGTCATGAGAATTTTCATAGTGCTAACAAAGGCTAATCACACAATAGTTATTAAGAATAAAACGTATGAAGTTAAGATTAAATAAAAGGGTAGTGTAAACTTACACTTGTCTAAACTATCTGACGATTCAGTCAAGTAAAATCTTATGAGCAGATAACAAATAGATACAAGAAACACTTAGAACATTTACTCCGTGGATAATTCTAGAATCACAGAATAATCTAACCCACTTGTCAAGCAGCTGGAGTCTGTCTGGAGGTTGTGAAATAAGTAAATAATGAGGTTCTGGAGAATTCTTGTTTTGTTTCTATGATCACGATATGCGGCAATTTAATATTATATCAATACCTTAGGTTGTCACCTGGTAAGAAAAGAATTTCTCTACTTACTCTATTGATTTATTCTGCTAGATAATCTGAATAATCTTACTGAATAGTTCATTTTGTTGTTATATATCAGTTAACCATTTTAAATTTATTAAAAAAGTTTTAAAAAGTTATATTCTAACTAACTGATAACGTTTTGCAGTCAAAAACCAAATTTTATCCTCTAATATCTCCATAACTCATTAACCAATGGTATTTCTGATCCGTTTTTTGTTATTTAATGAACTCTGTTTGGTTATTATTGTAATAGTTCAGTCAGTGAAATAAGATTTTATTGTCTTATTACCATGTAATAAATGCAATCAAGGCTTAAGATGTATAATAAGCATTTCTGGAAGTTATTAAAAATACTGTATTACATATTGGTAATGATAAGTTGTTATCATGGAAGTTCAAGTTAAGTTACACTTGAATATGAATCATTCGACTAAAATTACTCCTAACCTATCAATAATAATCTTTAAGTAGCAATTTTAAGATTTTAAAATTAATTTGGACTGTTTTTCTCTGGTCTTTATTTAATTAAATTTATCTCTTTGTCATGTCAAGTCAAAAGTTCATGAAGAATAGGCTAATAACAGATTAATTTTTAATGCAAATGTTATTCCAGATTTACTTGAGTATTAAAATAAATTACATTATAGTAAGATTTTAATTCAACTCATCATTGTTGTTAACTCGTTTATCTACTATGATAAATTGGAAAGCATAGATCATTCTATTTTCTTTTGGTTTATTAACTTATATAAACATTATTATGCTTCTATTTTTCATATTTTGAATTAATCATTTTCATATCAACTTAGTCGATTTCAAATTTCATTTGTAAATAGGATGCTGTCGCTAAATGGAGAGAAATGTTAGGGCCAGCAAGTGTTAGTGAAGCCAAATCTACAGTTCCTGGATCATTACGTGCTCAGTTTACCATGAAATCGCCGACTAAAATGACCAGTGGGAAAAGTGAAGGAATCAACCTTATACATGGATCAGCTAACGATCATGAAGTGGAGAAAGATATTAGTGTATTTTTCCCGGTCGAAAAAACAATTGCAGCGATTAAACCCGATGCATACGCTAATCGAGATGAAATTATTGAAAGGATTGAATCAGCTGGTTTTCACGTGGCAGCACGTAAAGAAACGACTCTTACTAAAGATATAGCTCGAAAACTATATGAAAATTGCTCTGGTCAACCATTTTACAATGATCTAGTTAATCATATGGTCAGGTGTGTCATATCATTTATTAAAAAAGTACTTTTCATTGTGAAACTTGGAAATACTGCCTGAATTTGTCACAGCCTTAGTACAATAACAGTTGTCAGTGGTTAAAATTGAAATGCAGTTCACGCTTTTTTTTTACCTTCTTTTAAACTTGACTAAACTGCCTATGCAAAAATCAAAAATTGATTTAGGGGAAACGAAATACCCACAATCTCACTAGGGGTCAAACCCATGACTTTCAAGTCTCAGATGGTCTCATATTAGAAGGAAACAGCTGTCCACTTCTTCCTAGTTGTTAACGATATAAATATTGGTTGGAAGGAAAATGGAATAAAACCCCTTGATTGACATACAGAATTAGCAGATCGGTGTAATAATAATAAACTTAAAATTAGGTACTATATTGCTTAATAAGATGTTTTGTACATTTTGACCCTACTGTTTTATATTCGTTTTCAGTTGTTTCCTAATAGCAATTGAGGGTGACTAGAGAGTCAGTCTAAATCATGAACCAAATGAAATAAATGGTTCTCGTGGCATATCATTTGCTGCTACCTTACACAGTACTTCACCATGCTTGGATAAAACCGAATGTCAGATGTACACTTTCCATATCCCTTAATAGTATCTGTATATAACCACTAGTAAGTAAGTAATTTCACGTGAAGTCAGAACTCTTTCGGAAGAGGTAAGGAAAGACCAAAACATGGCACAAATCCATGTAATAACCTGGTTGGGATCCAAGAGACGATAGCGACCGATGGTTAGAGACCTTGAATGACATGACTCAAAATCGTTTGCAATGGCTCAGGTGCATCCACTCTTTATGTTCTCACATATTCTAATATTTCGAACTCTTCATATCCCTTTTTTCTCTCTCCGAATTTATTTCACTGGATTATACTCGTTGAATAATATCTTCAAACCCTAATCTTTCTGATTACTGCTTATAATTTTACTACCTCAAACACTACGGGATTTGAATCGACAACTGCATCTCTGTACTAATGTGGTGTGGCAACACGAACTGATGTACGTACGTACAAAGTTCTACGTTGTTCCTGACTGATCCGTTGAAGAACTTTAGGGATCTGTTTTGAAGAATGTATCATTGGTCAGATGGTGTGTATGGGGATTAAGTCCTCTTTTAAGTTTTTAGGATACAGTTGTCCCTTATACCTCAATTATCTATAATGCTAATACTAAAACAATTTATACATAACTTATTATCAAACCTTCCTTCTTTCTACTATCATCAAATTTCCTCTGTCTCTTTGGTATTCTTCTTATAATCCTTACGTAACCAATATTAACATTCAAATTCTCATCAAAATTTTATTAGTACTCTTATTAAGCATCACGGACCTTATCAGTTTCTTAATCGTATATCACAATTCATTTATTTACTAATTTATACCTTCAAATATTATGATTTCCCTATAAACTTTTCAATTACTTCGTTTATCAATCGTCATTACTTTTACATGTAACGGTTTTACCCAATACCGTGTCACGTAATCGGCATTGCTTTTATCATTACTGCTAAACATGCATATTAGTGTAGAGCTAAGATGTAAAATCAATTAAAAAGAAATATTTCTTTGGTCTGTGAATCCTTTTTTTAAAAGAAATAGACTAGGCTATCAAATTAATTTAATTTAACATATTCACTATTGGTGATAAATTAATTTACTTGTCCAGATGATCCGCCTAATACGATATAAGGAAATTAGTTTGATCCTTCTTAAGTAACTTTCTCTTACTGAATGATGAAAAGGTTACATGTAATGTCAAATGAGCTTTAACTCAGTAACCTGGAAATAAGCTCCTTGACCATTACTATATCAAGTATAATAATCTACTCCATTCATTTTGGTTCAATAAATTAGACGAAGTAGTCAGGTCCGAAGGAATACATATTATGTACAACCAAGTCAGTAAATTTACATAAGTTACCTAAGTTATTAGTAAAATTATCTAGGATGCTCATAACCTGACAATCTAGTGCTTCGCATGCCTACACAGTGACCGTACTAGCTAATGTAAATATCAGTTACAAAAAGGTAGTAAACAGCTGTTATTTTTGCCTAATTATATCTGTAGGTTAATACGTCAATTCTTTTCTGAGAAAAGTTGGATGATATCGAAGTATGTCACACAGAACTCGGTTAATACGTAAGATAAAACCAAAGACCAAGCTTAGAATTTAATAGTTTTCATTCATTAGATTAAGCTGTTCTAAAAATAACGACAGAGGACTATGGTAGTCTCAAAGTACTGGTCAACTAACTAACGTTGCTAAGTTTACGAAAAGAATTTTTAAAGGAGTTTATTAACTTGTTTTATTTTATTCTTAGTCACTTTTCTTAATCAGGCTATCTGTTGATTACTTTTAAATACAGTGGTCAGACTTTGTTCATGGTTTTGACGAGAAGTAATGCAATTTCCGGTTGGCGGCAACTGATGGGACCAACAGATCCAAACAAAGCATCTGACGAATCATCAGAAAGGTATCGTTATGACTAATTTATTTACGGTGATTGATATATGATAATATAATCTTAAAACTTCCAGGGACAATTATTAACGGACCCATCCAGTTTTCTGTGAATGAACTTAAATTATATAACTCAAAGCATTTGATCACTAATCATGGGCATCAGCCAGGATGCTCTAATGTCTGTTTATGACTCAGAGCAAAAGTTAATGATTTCATTATCTGATACAGTAACGTGATTTGGAAAATACTAACGTTACTGGATTTTTATACTACATGGACCAGAATCTCACTTTGGTAAACGTATCAATATCGTTTATAAGTAAACTATCGACTAATAGATGCATTTTATTATCTAAATAATATAAGATGAAAGCAAAGTTGCATTTGTATTTAGCGTTGATGATCCTTTTACCAACAACTGATCCAGTTGTATATCCACTAATAAGAAATAAGCTAACTTCTGAAATTTAGTTTCGTGAAGCTGAGAGAGATTGAGTTTAGTCTAAATAGATCATGAATCACTTAGAAAGTGTATAATAAATTTACTTAATATCATTTGAATTATTTTTGACTGTTAAATTCCATAGAGAGAAGATCACAATGCTTGTATGAAATATTTTCACGTATTTTATTCCTGAAAAGAATAGTTTGTAGTTTTGTGTCTGTATTTTTCACCTGACATATGGCTAAATTTTGTAGACTTTCTATTCGAATTTCTTAGATTTGGAAGTATTTTATTTGTCTGTTTTTAACTTCCATGAATTAAAAAATCTATGGCATTTGTCTTTCTAGTATTCGTGCAATTTATGGTAGAGATATTCTTCGTAATGCAGTTCATGGATCATCTAACAAAGACGAAGTTCAACGGATTCAGAATTTATTATTCACCGGTATCGAAGCTACTGAAGAAAACCGTAAGCAAATCATTAGAAATTTATGAAATTGTGTGACGAGTAGCAGTATTTTTCTAATATAATTTACTCACTAGCAATATCCAAACTTGTTCAAATCGTACTCTAATAGCGATGAATGAACCGACATCCGAAGATTATGAACATACGTCAATGCAATTTTATAATTAAAATTAAGCGCGCAGTAATGTACAAACCACCTACCGTTTTATACAAGCTCCACAAACTAATCAATCGTAATTAAGTGTATTCTATGACTTACATTTGAGTTCCTACGACGTACATTATGATCTTATGTTTACAACCCTTTAGAATTTATAAAAACCTGCAAAACGTGACTCACCCGATTGCAATGGCCACCTTGATGGAGTTGTCCGGTCTATCTATTGTAATGACACAGTCGAGATTTACCAGCTGGTCGAACTGTTTTTTACTATCATACCGTCCCGGAAGATTTAGAATCGATGGTGATTAGATTAAAATCAGTAGATTAAAGCTTAGTGAAGAAGTCCTACTGACGACTACATTGAGATGTGGTGGCACTACGGTTTTTCCAGAAGATAGTCGGTATTCTGAATAATATTGACTTGCACAGACAAAAAAATGGGTTACGAGCAGTGGGTTTTAAACATATCCTACACTAATTTAATCGTTGAGTAAATGAGTCAATTAAAGCTAGACCAGTGAACGGACGTTTCGTCCTAGTATGGGACTCCTCAACGGTGCCCACCCACGATCCTGCTTGCGAGATCCGAACTCAGAACCTTCAGTCTCGCGCGCAAGCGCTTAACCTCCAAATCACCAAGCCGGCCGGCATCCAACGGTTTTAATGTCTAACTCCAACCAATTCCACACTAGTTGCTGTATGAACGTTTTGAACCAATTGTAAGGTTTAATCAGTACAGATAGCTTGTGTTTGCAAAGTTTTATCTATGGCTTTCCTAGACTGTTCTCCAAACTATGTATTGCAGTTTTCAAGATTAAGATCCTGTATCAGATCGAATAATGGGTTTCACTAGGCGAGAATTCGAGATTATGTGCCATGAATTTTTTCATTACCTATATGATGGATTGAAACTAATTACATCTATGCCAAAACCTGTATTGTTTATGACTGACGGAATAACTTGGAAACGTTATCATATTTCTATGGATCAGGTGAATTGATGAAGTCCTCAAAAGCATATTTGGGAAATAAGCAGAAAAATCGATGATTTATCAATCTCAAAAAGTTACTACCACCAAACTAGCCACACGTCATCCGTTTATTGACTAGATTATATTATGTAAAATGTTGACGTACCAGCCATCATTGCATGCTTAAACTTTAAAGGTCACACTAGTAATTTGATGGGATCAGTTTATTACTCGCCCTTTCAGACGAATACGTTTGACCACACAAATGATAATGACTGTTTGTAACTGTCCGTTGACTTCTCAGATATCATTATTTGGCTACGAAGTTTGAATAATTAGTCTGCTGACTTCCATGGACACTATAGTTCACTTAAAAAGCCATTTCATGTGTATTTTGCTGACACTATGTATACTTGCTTGCTCACATCTGTTATCCTTTATGGAGCATAGGCCTTCAACCATGATTCTCCAACCAACTCTGTCCTGGGCTCTTCTTTCCAGCTATCTTCAAGTGTTATTCATTCTTTTGATATCTGTCTTCAATTCTCGGCTCAATATGTTTTTCGGTTTGCCTCTTTTCCTTTAGCCTTGAAGATTCTAAATTAGGATGTACTTTGATGCGGTTTGATGAAAGTATAAAATTAGAGTCTATAAAATAAGTTTAATTATTATGATAATCGATTTACTAGTTACGCTAGTAAAAGGATTCTTTAAAAAGACAAAGCATAATGATTCAGTAAACAAGCCATCAGAAATTCATGCTCATTTGTGCATTGATCTCTAAAAAGTCGAATTTTAGCTTACTAATTGTTTACTGCCATGTTGATGAAATATTATAAAATTAAAATAAATAATTAGATATGCTTCTTATTCCCTAATTATAATAAAATTACTGTTACATATTTGATTTATTCAGTTGATGTATTATTTAGACCCCTGTAATTTTCTTCCTGTCTTTCATTTAGAAACGATGTCGTCAAGAAGTAGTAGACGAGGTTAGTAAAGTGACTTTTTATGCTAATGGATAACTGAATTTTTAATGATCTGTCCTAAGATACTTTGAAGAATCTAGTAACATGATTCCTAATGAAATATTTATCGTACATACAGCTGAATACCAAGGTTGATTTAAAATCACATACGCTGATTTCATCCATCTTTAAACCTAACTTAAAATAGGTGATCGGAGTTCAAGTTCTTATAGTAGTGTTGCTCATCAAAGCGAATAAATCCATAAAAACAGATAGCGAAGTCGATATCAGATAAACAAAGTGATTATCAGGGATTTAGATAATCTTAAGATCAATACTAAACACCGCTACTTACTAAGATTCCTTTTTAATCACTCATTTAATTCATTAGTGGATGCTGCAAATATTCAGTATTCTAATTTCTTAAAATAATCACCGTTATCAAGTAAATCACAAAGGAAGCTGAGAAATTAAGAGTTTTATGTGTTAATTAAGGCTTGAGTGAGTTAAAAAAAAACAAAAAGTACTTATTTTGTGATATTTCTAAAGTAGTTCGAGAGTACAAATCAGGAAGCTTACAGATGTCTGTGGAGTAAACCACTAGTTTCCATACGCTTCTTTGGAGGATGTTTTTACCACACTATCTAGTATCTGTAAAGAAACAAGATCTTAATGGATATTTGTTTAAACTAAAGGTGTTTTCCACCAGCTAGAAGACTCTGAGTTCATACTCAGTGTTCCGATAGTATCACGCTCCTTTATAGACCGAAACTTGTTTGTTTTTGTTATAACTTGTGGTCTATGTGCCCTGCTAATGTATAACGTAATGATACCGCCAATTAGAGAGCAGTGGATTATCAATCGGACCAATGACGCACGAAACCCGTATGAGCAGTCTAGAGTACTTATCGGTCCTGCTTCCTGCCTAGCCCAGCCAATTAAGTCCAGAACACCAATCTCAGCCTCTGTGATATGAATCATTTATTCCAAACATACTGGGTTTAAATACCAACCAGACAGACCACATCGTACTATAAAATAGGAAACATATGTACAAGATTTGGCCAAATGTGGCTGAGTGTGGGAGGTAGTAATTAATAGACAGGGCATAATTCAAGAATGGTAAATCGTATAATAATAGTTCATAGGTCAAAATAAAGCTCACAATAAGAGGGACATGAGTATGTATGGTTTAGTTATTTAACAATTATACGATAAAAATATACTCATAGCATTGTTTCATAAATGGATCCCAATAATTACCATTCATTATGCTTATCGGGACATAACAGTTTTAAACCCAGGTGGTGTCATAAACGTACACGACTGACAAGTCCCAAAGTATAATAAAACAACTGTCTATAGCTCCCTGATTTTTAGTGGATCTCTTAATAATATTAGTTTATGTTTAAAACTACATACAGTTGGGTATCCAAATGGTATCCGAATCAAACTATGTTTTCTTTAGATGTGGTAGATAAAAATTTTATGTTCTTTTGTCATCAATGATGATTGTAGTAGTCTTATATAAACTTGAACTACGACAAGTAATAGAGTAGTCAGAGCTATTCATGAAATAACTGACAAGCTTACATTGCGAATAACTCCAACTCTTCGGAATTTAGGTATGAATTGAGAACTCGTTTACCAGTTCACTCTTATTTCAGAAAGCAGTTGATAAGTTTTGAAAGCTTTGAACGTTTTCAGCTGTTTTAATTAGTAGTCATTAAAGGCAATAGAAAGCGTGTAATTATTGAATATACGTGTTATTAATTTCTATCCACTCAAATATAGATCCATTAACACTGTTTGCAGTATACCCCAAAACGATCGACTACCCAAACAATGTTGTCACACACTCCCAAAACTAGTTATCCGACCACCAAGAAGCCTAATTAAGTAGTCTGTAGAATTCTGCACTACTCGGAGTTAAAACTCATCTGATTATAAACATAAAGTAAACGACTGACCCACAAGTAAAAAAATTGCAATATATAAAAAAGAGGACATTTATGATAATAAACTAAGTTTCAGGCTTATGCTCAATTCACTGTAATCTATGAACAGTAAGGGCGTTGCAATGGTTAATAAACAAAATAAAATAAAAGCTTGATATTAGAATGATATTAAAATTTCATAAATACACAGTAAGTATATATAAAATGCGTTCCTAGGGGGATGACTTCCAAAGTTTCGTGGTTTCTTGTATTCCCTTCGTCTTAGCAATATGAATAAAGAATCTTTAAGCTTCATGTGAAGTAGAGGTTGGTTTATTTCGTCAATTACTAAAGTCTATCAAGAATAATAATATAATAAAACCATTCAACGTAATTAGTCTGTTATGTCAGTTTATTTCTAAGAAATAAATGATGAAATATTAGAAGTAATACTTTAGTATAAATCACTACGAACATTAAAATGAATGCCAAATGAAAAGCGAAACAAATTTTCTTGCCTTTATTGAGTAGTTATAACCAAATGCTGTATCGTGAAGTAAATATTTTGATACTAGATATTATCGTTATAAGCTAAAACATACGTATATCTCTTAGCATAAGATAATTCTTCCCTATTGTGCTGATAAACTTACAATTTCATCGGTTATTTTTCTTAAGATTCAATAAATGAAGAAATGGATATGGATAAAGGTTAGTTTGACATCAATATCTGAAATAATAATAATAATAATAATAATAATAATAATAATAATAATAATAATAAAATTTATTATAACAGTTTCTTAAACATTATGGTTAGTTTCATTGTTTATTTTGTAATTTCTGAGGAAGATCATCTTTCTTAATAATGAATTCTATTAAATACATCAAGTTAGTTTCATGATTTATCGACGATTCGTTTCAATGAAGCTACTTAGAGAAAACATGAAATACAATATCGTGTTGTTCGTTTTAGTTTCAATATTTAGCTTATCGAACGTTAAATCTGGTCAGTAGTTGATCCTTGAATACTGGGACGGCTAGTATATAATGTATAAAACACTTCCATCTATTATTAGCTAATAGTGTTTGGTAAAAATCGCAAAACAGTGACTAATATACTATGGCTTGTACTACTACGCTGTCCATTATACTTTCCATTACGTATATCTACAGTCTAGAAGATAATACAATACTTCCATTTAGAATGATTATCTTTTGGAAATAATGTTAAATTTTAAGGTTCACAAGTTGTTATATCAATCGGTATTTGTATATTAGAACTGAAACAAGTAGTGTTGAAAATAATAAATATATTTTTTGTTATGAATAACCATAGTTGATTATCTATTAACTTTCCACCCAATGTTCAATTTATTTGAAACCATCAAGTCCAACTTTAGCACTGATACCTAGAAGTAAAGTTGAACTAATTAATTCCAAGTGTTTCATAATGCAGGTAGAAGCGATATTATTACTTCAGAGTTAAATTATTGATTGAGATCATGAATTGAGGTTAAGCGTTTGCTCATGAGACCGAAAGTCCTGGGTTCAAATTCCTTATGAGAGATCGTGGATGTGCACTGGTGAAGAGTCCCATGCTAGTACAAAACGGCCGTCCAGGTTTTCAATGGTGGTTTAAAATCAATCAATTCATGATCTCAATCAAAAACTTAACAATCTCCAAAATAAGATTTTTATTTTTTCTCTCAATCAGATCACACATTTTGGTCAAATATATGATAGATCATTTTATATCGATAAATATAAGTAAAGTTAGTGCAGAAACTACATAAAATAATTTACAGACGTTAAAACTGACATTGTCTAAACAAATCGAGCATCACTCTTTTGTACACTGTTAGATGACTTGATTACTTTCGATTAATACATATGTAAATTATGAATGTCGTTACTTTATCATCACAGAAAGTCATGTTTCTTTGATCTACTTTTGTCATGATATTATTCTAATAGGATTAACAAGCATTTAAATCATTAATATTATTATTCGCTTAATTTTTTTTAAAATTTAGCTCACTCATATGCAGTTAAAGAAGAGCAAGGTAGGCACACCTTAGTTTATAACTTATATATTTAATGTACTTTGGATAAGTCACTTATGAAATTACATTTCAAACACTAGAATGATGTTTTTTTCATGTGTATACACAAAAACTTCTTTAGTAATTAGAACTATAGGTTGATCAAGATTCTACAGTTATAAAGATAACAATATTGTGTGAAGGATTTTGTGAATAATTTTTAATTTCTTAAGGAAAAGACGTGACCTATGAAATAAAGCGTTTAGAATAGGTATTAGCCGTAGCACTGGATGATAGGTTGGAGATATCACAAATAGACTGATATTAAAAATGCAAATCATTGGATAATAACCCAGTGGTTTAAACGTAACAGGTTCAACATGAATCGCGAAGGTCTACTGTGGGACTAATGTTATGGTCTTCGGTGTTCACCAATGGAAATCTCATACTAAGAAGCTACCATAATCGTCTTCCGTAATTATTATTGGGTTTCTGTCTTTATTTCCGTTCTACACGCCTTTGCATTTTATAACTTTTGAAAACTGATTAATCATCTTGAGCAAGTTGTTATCCTTATTGATTGTTAGTTGTATTTCAATTGAATTTTAGTTTGTTATTTTAAAGATTATTTAATTTAGACTCCATTTGAATGTAAAACATTTTAGTCATATAATTTTATACTACTTAGATAAGTGATTTAACTAATTACGTGTTAATCATATACACATATATACTGATTAAAGTGAATTAAAATTAAATAAGGTCGTTCAGAGTAACTCATTCCGAAAATAAGTTTACGTAGGAAATTAATTAAAATTGTATGCAATATTCATAATTACTTACTTATGCCTGTTACCCCCAATGGAGCATAGGCCGCCGACCAGCATTCTCCAACCCACTCTGTCCTGGGCCTTCTTTTCTAGTTCCATCCAATTCTTGTTCATTTTTCTCATGTCTATCTCCATTTCTCAGCGTAATGTGTTCTTTGGTCTTCCTCTTCTCCTTTGGCCTTGAGGATTACCTGTGAGGGCTTGCCCTGTGACACAGTTGGGTGCTTTCCTCAATGTGTGTCCTATCCACTTCCAGCGCTTCTCCCTCCGCTGGGATCTGGTTTGTTCTCTCCCACAGTAAGTTGTTGCTAATAGTGTCCGGCCAACGGACCCAAAGTATTTTTCGTAGACAACTGTTAATAAACATTAATATCATCTAGATGATGGCTTTCGTAGTTCTTCAAGTTTCCGTCCCATACAGTAGAACTGTTCCGACATTTTGTTATAACTGATGACTGCAAGATTAGACGCGCAGCTTATTTATCAATCGGATCACTGACACGTAAACACACACGAACGACCTAGAGTCCCGATCGGCCCTGCTTCCCTGTCTAGCCTAGCCAGCTGAGTCCAGGACACAAGTCTCAGCCTCTGAGATATGAATCGATATATATTTCAAACATACTCTGTTTATATACCAATCAAGCAGGCCACATCGTACCATAAAATAGAAAAAAACATTTGTACAATATTTGACAAGTGAAATAAACATTGGCCAATAGGAAATGTCCATTTAAAGTCCAAGGACACCATTAGACTTAACATGATAATTATTGGTATATTTTTCCGAATATCCCAACACATTTGTATTGAAAATTCTGAAGTTGGTGTTGATTGACAATTGTTTTGAGTTCGAAATGTTCGTCAGTTGTAAATATTCTGTTCTTGCTTTGTCGATCCGCGCCTTTTTTGTGGGGCTCGTTATGTTGTCATCATTTAGATCGGATGGTGTTTGTTGACCGGCTCTCCACTTTAGTGGCCCGTTGATCTGACTCCCATTAGATCGTATGAATGTTTTTTTATCACCTATCCTCGTATATCATCATCGACTTAAATCGCGTTGATCAATAACGGAATAATTCAAATAACGAGAATGGACTTTGGAATACACATATCTTCTATATAGAACGAATGGAATAGAACAATGCAAAACGATGAGCAGTGGAGATGGCGAGTAAGCCAACTCCCCTTTAGTTAAGCGTCAATTAATATTTATAGTTACACAAAAGTAAGTTACAGACATGTGATGAGTAATGGGATAGGAAGTGTACACACACCCACGCGCTCATATAAAACAGTCAAGATTGATAAGCGGATAAATAACAAGGTCAGAATGTGGCTCAAGTAGAATGAATAGAATGGGCTGTTCGAAAGTGAGAGTAAGATATATGGGCTTAACATGATGACAGAAACTACACCTTCACATCTGCATCAGATCCATGCTAACCAGAAAAATATTCAAAACAAAACCTCACAATTTAAGTAGTTAAGTATATATAAGTAGTTTTCATCATAATCTACACAAATCTTATCAAATCGAATGAATAATTCTAAAGTAATCAGTTTAAATGAACATTACGTTTTCGATTTTTACTTATAAAGATTTTAAATGGAAAATTATATTTTCTTTAAATATTTGTATACATGCATATATGTATATGTATATGTATATTTATAAAAGAACCAATACTACAATCTGATCAACGTGTAGTTATGGGTAAGACTCTGTTGTTAATAATATGTGCACAAGCCAATGTAGATTTCCATAATTATACACTTTGAAGTTTTCTACATATATAAATGCAAATGTTTATGTGTATATTCTTAATGGTTAGATTTGTATTAGTGTTTGTGTATTTTAGAAAATTATTAGAATTTAATTATTACAATTGACAAACCCAAACTAAGTAAATTTTTTTTTGAATTTTAGAAGCTGAATCAGCTAGATCACAAGAAAATGAAGAAATAAAAGGTAATAATTATTTTAAATTTATGTGCATACTTTTATTAATTAAAATGGTTAGTGTTTTTTTAGCGAGTTAGTTATCAACGGGATGGGGTCGCTAACCTCATGCCCAATTCTCCCCCTTTACCCAGGCTTGAGACCGGCAGTAACTCTAAAAGAGCTACAGGTGGAAAATTCGTTGACACCATGGAGTTCCTGAGAAGATTGTCAACATTATCCGGAACTCATACGACTGATTACAGTGCAAAGTCGTACATGGAAGACACCTGACAGATTAATTACAAGTAAGGACCGGCGTCCGACAAGGCTGTCTACTCTCTCCCTTCCTCTTTCTTCTGCTGGTCGACTGGATTATGAAGACCTCGATATCTGAGGGAAATCATGGAATACAATAAACAACTTAGAACCAGTTTGACGATTTGGATTTCGCAGATGACCTAGCCCTCCTATCTCATACACACGAACAAATGCAGATAAAGACAACACATGTAGCAGCAGTCTCTGCATCGGGAGGCCTCAACATACAAAAGGGGAAAACCAAGGTCCTGAAATACAACACAGAGAACAGCAATCCAATCACTCTTGATGTCGAAACTCTGGAAGATGTAGAATCGTTCACATACCTGAGAAGCATCATCGATGAACAAGGAGGTTCAGATGCATACGTAAATATGAGGATTGGCCGGCAAAGCAAGGACCGCACTTCTACAATTGAAGAACATATGGAACTCAAAACAACTTTCAACCAATATGGAAGTGAGGATCTTCAAGACGAATGTTATGACAGTCAGTTCTACCATACGGAGCTGAAACTTGGAGAACTACTAATAGAATCACCAAAAATGTACAAGTATTTATCAACAATTAACTATGTAAGATACTCGATATCCGTTGGCCGGATACTATCAGCACTAGCGTTCTGTGGGAGAGAACAAACTAGTTTTCATCTGAGGAGGAAATTAGGGAAAGACGATGGAAATGGATAGGATATACATTACGCAAATCATCAAGTTGCATCACGAGGCAAGCCCTAACTTGAACTCCTGAATGGAAGCGGAAAAGAAGAAGGCCAAAGAACACATTACATCAGGAAATAGAATCGGATATGAAAAGGATGAATAACAACTAGAAAGGGTTGGAAAGGATTGCTCAGGACAGGGTTGGATGGCGAATGCTGATGAGCGGCCTATGCTGTTTCACGAGGAGTAACAGGCGTAAGTAAGTAATTAAATGTATTTGATATAATTCATAATATTGTAATGGTTATATTATATTTACATATGTATTACAAGATGGTAATACTTCACTTGATAGTAAGTTATTTACTATTTGAAGTGAAGTTATAAAATTTATATTAGTTTGAATATTGACATTGTTATTGCCACATATTTGAATTGATTTGTATAAAGGAATCTTTTATGTACTTTCTTTCATCTACATACATTCTGAATTCTTGATTTAAGTTTGAGGACACTCTTTACTCTTACAGATATTCATATAGATTTTTCTTTTTAACAAACAATCAATATTCACAGGGGAAGTGTAAATGAGAAATGGTTGTTCTGATTCGACTTTCTATAGAATTATAATTTGTTAATCATCATGACTCGTAACTATCGGTCTCCATGGTTTCTTTATCTTTTTAAATTATTTGTTTGTTAGCCGACGTTAGTTGTTTGTCCCTGGAAATTTTCAGTATTTTCACCTATCCACTACTTGTTACAGCTGTTGCTTAAACTATTGCAAAATTTCTTTTATCAAACCAAACACCTTTATCAGATGAGATTACGGTCCTGGATTTCACTGCTAGCCATCATTACTTTAGTTTATAGTGCTTGTGACTGACGGCGATATCGAGGCGATTCGTACAGAATGCACTATACAACTATCTTACAACCAATTTCTATTATGGTTCATTTTGGTTAAGCCCTTTCATTAACTTACTTAACAGACAATGCTGTTAGAATGGTAACAATTCCCATACTTTTTTGTACCGTTATGATTACTAGATCACATGACAGACTAGCTAAAATATTGATCGCTTAAGTATTACTCAGTGATTCATCCTCCTCCCCATGTATATATATATATATACTCAAGTCATATGATTAGTCTTTGCTTTGCTTCATCCTTGTGCATTTTGACTATAAATTTGCCTATGTAATTGCTCGTATATACTTGTTCGCCTTTCCGCTTCAAATTCGTTCCATGTCCTGATAGCTTTGTGATATGCGCTATCATCTAATAAATTGTAGCTGCCGCTTTTTATTGCCTTCTGATTTTAATCATCGTTGAGATTTATATTATAACGGTTACCGAACTGATCGATTAACGAAGCAAAGCCACTACAGCACATATGTCAATAAGAGACTGATCAATTGTAGTCTTAAACATCAATGGAAAGTTTCAGTTAACCAATACAAAAATGAAGAAAACACGTCTTCATTCTACAAGATAACTAAGACATATTTCTAATGTCTGTTGATTAAATAATAACCATCCGAATCAAAACAAACCAATTTAACATTGCCTGTTAAGTATCAACCATCATAATGCTGTTAAATATATACATATTGATATAATTTTTTTATCCTAGGAAATTAGACTTGAGTAAATTGTTACTAAATCCATAAAATCACTCAATCTCATAGTTTTGATCTCTTAGATACCTAGTTACAAAGCAGCTAATTATTTGCAAACAATGATCATTTTCTGTTATTAACTAAATTTGATTACCACATGATTTCATTTTTCTATAGAATCTAATCATTCGAGTTGGGAACAACATTTTCTTGACCATAGTTTTAACTTGTATTGATAAATGAAAAGATAAACAATAATTCGATAATTTGATTTATGATTTTATTATTTCATGGTGAACGACTCAATTTTAAAAATAAAAAAACTTGGTTTTTTCCCTGGCTAATTTATTTAGATGAGGAAAATATGTTAAATACACAGAAAGTAAATGATGAAGAAAATATACAATCGGAGAGGCAACAATTTACAAACTCTGATGATAAAATACAACATGAAGAAAATGAATTAACTGAAATCACTAGTGATACAATGCCAATAGGAGAAAGTGTAGAAAAAAATGAAACAAGTAGTTCTAGTTCATCAGGTAAGAAATAAGTAAGCAATAGTTTTTGAATATAACGAACGGTAATGATTTATCTTTATCTTTATAAAAACTCATAGTTAATCAAGTTATTTGATGTTATGAAATATTGAATTTTATATTTGTATTGTTCTGGATGTTAAAAGTAGAGTAGAATATTAACTGTCGATATTTGTACATTTACCATTAAATGAAGGTCGAAATCTTTTCATTATTAGACTAAACTTCTATTGGGGATGTTAGATCCTCAGAACTCACTTGGGAAAGGACCTAACTTTGTAGTTTTATTTAGAAAATCTGAATTTCTTTGTTTTCGCGCCAAAGGCGCTCTTGTCACCTTCATGTCGTATTTCCCATTGGGAAATATTGTAAATGCTATAGGTCCGTTGCGTTTTTTAGTATGCTATTTATTAACTCTTCCCAAGAACGGTTTTGTACTGTATATATACGTTTTGAATTGTGTTTGTTGTTATCGCTCGTTTCTGGCTGTTTGCGGAATATACTTCCCCATTCCAAGCTTGGACTTCTCCCTCTAGTTAGCGGGGCTGGGACGCATCAATAGCTAGCTTGTTGGACTTTGGTCACCGAGTCTTGTTTCTCGTTCGCAGATTAAGTGAACTCGTGATAGGTGAGGCCTTAAGTTCCTGGGTTCGGTCTCCAGTAGAGTCGTGGATGTTCATTACCAAGGAGTCTCATACTAACACAAAACAGCTATTCAGTGTTGTCTGGTCTCAGTAACACTCAACATTTCCCATGAAATTCTTATACTGATAGTTAGCAGTTATTTATGGGTGGTAAGCAAGAAACTTTACATATGGTCTTTTTGATAATTGACATTAATCAATAAAGTGTGCCTGGTGCATCCCTTGAGATTCTAACTCGCGTTACAGACAAAGAAGTTACCACTGGGATATTTATGTTAAGACTAACCTACTATAATACTGAGGTGTTTATACTGAGTGGTAATTAATATTGTCTTTATTTATTCCTCACTATGGTTTCCAGAAATGTCGAATTACTTATTTAAATAATTAGTAATGCACTCACTGCTATCTAATTTCTAGACCCACGAGGCCTAGTTATGTGAGGAATGAGAAAAATATCACCAAATGAATCAGACAACAATTTAATTCAGTGAAAGTTCAGACAAATTCACCTTGACCAAGAATAAATTGACATTAACATTATTCAGACGTATTGTGATATTGATTGTACTATTCTGCATTGTTTCCTTTGCACTATTTAAACTTGTGTTAATTGAATTCGGTTATTCATTTACTCTGAAGAAATGGCTTACATTCAGTCACAAAACACTGGCAAAAATATGTTTATTACTAACTTTCTGTAGATACATGTATAATCAAATAAATGTCAAATAAGCATAATTTAACGCGATATCATTTGAGAATATATTTACTAAAAAAAACAATGTTTCTTGGAATGGGCATCTCTTTATTGTAATATTAGTAGAACAATATAACTTATGTGGAATGGACCATTATTTTACTGATAGATTTTCTTCTTTGAGAGATAGCTTTCCGATAAACAAAAAGGGATCATTCATTAATGAATGTCTATTTTGTCATATTGTGTACAAAACCTAAATCTTCTTCATTAGCAATAGAAAGTTGTAAATTGAAGGGTTGTATTGTTTTGATGCTGATCCGAAATCTATAATCCTTGTGTTTTTGATACGGTTGAACTTAAAGGTTGGGTTCGCAAAACTCAGGGTAAGTGAAACTGTCAACTCATATCATTTTCTATTACAAGACCTATAAACTAACAAGTTATAAAACACTTCACAATTATATTATTCCGCTCAAACACTTGTTTGTATCACAACACTCGATTAAAGTCTTCCATTTGATATACACATTTATGTCAACATTCCTGCATGAAATATATGTTTTATATTACAAACTGGATTTTGTAATTTCATTACGAAATGTGAAAATTTTTCACAAAATTTAGTCACTGATTTTATAAACTCTTGTGATGATGAGCACCACACATTTGTTACACGTTATGCTTTCTTCTATACTTTTGTTATATATTTCATTATTGTACTAAGATAAACAACACCGACAATTAAGTTTCTTTACTGTTGTACATTTTTTCAAGCACAATTAGTGGGTATGTAAGTATGTGATGTTTGTTTACGCATCATGAATTGAATAAATTAATGATTTGAGATTATTTTACATGTAAGTGGTTTGGTAATCACTCGGTTTACTAAAAAATATATATACCCCAAGTCTAAACTATTTGATAAATTCATTTTAAGTCTAAACCTAACAACTTTTTAACAATAACCTTGTCATTTTATTATCTGATTTCTGAAGAAAACTATTCATGGTTTGACCAATAAAAGTAGTCTAGTTACAAACAAAAAATCAGTAAAGCATTCTACAATTGCATCTCCATATTTACTGACTACTTTAATTTATAATACTCAATGTCTTTTCTGTCAAATTAGTTTATTAAGATTCAAATCTTCGAATGAACATTCCTTACCTCTTCTATTTCTATTCTATTTAAAAACGAGCTTTTACTTAATCTACAATTAAATGAAGATTGGATGTAAGCCTATTGTTATATTGTTATAGGTCAAGGATAACTAATCAATTATCTAATGTTTTAAATAGTCCTGAATTTACTCAGTCAATGGATGAAATAAACAGTAAAATGAAAGTTTGCCACCTATATGACAAATACACTACTTGCTTTTAAAATTGATAAATATAATAATATACTACCAAAATCTAGTTTTGACTAGTTAATAATTACCTGAACTCCGTCCGGTGCTGGTGAGTGGCCTATGATCCTCCACAAGAGGTAACCGGCGTAAGTAAGTAATAATCACCTGAAGTTTATACCATTCTTATCCAGTCACTAATTACTAATTGTTGAATGTATGCATGGTTGTCACAGTTTAAACTGTTAAATTCTAAAATGTAATAACTCATAAGTTAGTGCTAAGATTTCATATTTCCTAATTAGTTGTTTGTATTAAATCTTATGTTAATTTTATCTTACAGATACATAAATACTGAATCAATGGGAAAGATTAGAATGATTTTGTATACCTTTTTTATAAAAGATCAAATGTACTACAATTCAATTGTTATTTATTATAATAAAGATTTTTTCAAATGATTCTAGTTTGTTTTGATGAGTTAAGCACAGAGTGCTATTATTGTTCTAGTGTTTTGCTAAAAGAAAATATTTTTAGTTTCATCGCTTAGCCCATTTGTCATATTGTGTCTCATAAGTTTTTTACTCTTTGTAAACTACTAAGTTTTGATAGTCAATTTTCAAATATTTATTGTTCAATAAACTTCATCTTTTAAATAACGACATACAGTTTGGACCATTGTATGGAGTGGAATCATTTGTTGATTTTAATTGAGAACAGTCTATTAAATATTTTACAATCAAAGAATTTTGTGCGAATAAGTGTGTTCACTACTTACTCAAGTCCCAAACATATTTCTTACTTTACTAACTTCTGTTACTCCTATTGGAGCATAGACCTCCCACTAACATGATGTATCCAATTCTATCCTGCACAATCCTTTCTAGTTGTTTTCAGTTGCTATTCATCATTTTGATATCTGCTTCGAATTCTCGACGCAGTGTGTGCTTTGATCTTCCTTTTTCCGTTTACATTCAGGATTCCAAATTAGTACTCGCCTCATGGTGCAGTTTGATAATTTTCACAATGTATGTCCTATCAGCAACAGCCTTCTGCGGGAGAGAACAAACCAGCTTCTAGCTGAAGAGGAAATTAGGGAAAGACAATGGAAATGGATAGGATATACATTACGCAAATCATCAAGCTGCGTCACAAGGCAAGCCCTAACTTGAGATCCTGAAGGGCAGCGGAAAAGAGGAAGGCCAAAGAACACATTACGTCGGGAAATAGAATTGGATATGAAAAGGATGAATAACAACTAGAAAGGGTTGGAAAGGATTGCTCAGGACAGGGTTGGGTGAAGAATGCTGATGAGCGGACTATGCTTCTCCACGAGGAGTAACAGGCGTAAGTAAGTAAGCAATGTCTTATCCACTTTCAGCGTCTTTTCTTAATTTCCTCTTTATCTGAAAGCTGGTTTGTTCTCTCCCACAGTAGGCTGTTGCTGATGGTATCCAGTCAACGGACACTCAGCATCTTACATAGACGATTGTTCATAAATACTTGCTCTGTTTTGATGACGGTTGTGGCATTTTTCGAAGTCTCAGCTTCGTACGATAGAACTGTATTGACGTTCGTATTGAAGATTCTAAATTCGATGTCGGTTGACAGACAGTTGTTTTGAGTTTCATGTTCTTCAGTAGTGAGAATGTAGACCTTGCTTCCCAGGTACATTTCAAATTTACAACCTCATCTAGATCTTCATCAAGTGTGATTAAGTTGGTGTTCCATGTGTTATATTTTTGGATCTTGCTTTTACCCAAGTGTATGTTGAGGCCCACTGCTGTAATGGCCACTACTACACTGGTTGTCATGACTTGAACTTGTTGGTGTGTATGGGATAGAAGGACTTAATCATCTGTGAAGTTGCATCCAAATTGTCCGTTGTATTCCGTACTTTCCTCAGATGTGGAGGTCTTCATAATCCAATCAACCACTAGAAGAAAGAGGAAGAGAGAAAGTAATCAGCCTTGTCTGACTTTGGTACACACTTGGAGTGCACCTATCAGCTGTTCTCCATGCACGACATTGCAGTGTAGTCCGTCGTATGAATTCCGGATGATAATGACGATCTGCTCAGATGTACCAGAGTATTGAATTAGACTCCACAAGATTCTCCAATCCATGCTGTCAAATGCTCTCATAGTCAGTGAAGTTGATGTGTAGTGACGAATTCCATTCAACTGATTGTTCAAAGATTATACGTAGTGTCGTGATTTGGTTTGTGCACGACCGATCATTACGGAATCTAATCTGTTTATCTCGAAGTTGGGCGTCTACTGAATCTTTTATCCAGCTTGATAACACTGTTGAAAAATTTTCCTGGCACCGATAGTAGTGTGATGCCTCTGTAGTTCTCATACTTGCCAAGACCTTTCTTTATTATCTTAACGAGGTATCCTCCCTTCCAGTTTGTCGGCAGTTGATCACTCTTTTGAATCTTTCTGAATTGGATGTTGGGCATCTTTGAAGTTAATTCTATGTGTGACTTCAGTGCTTCAGTTGGTATGTTGTCTGGTGCTGCTGCTTTCCCACTCTTGATTTGTCTAATAGCCATCCTGATTTCTTCGATCGTTGGTGGAGTGACAGTAATATGAGTGTTTGTGTATACTGGCTCGGTGTCTGGTGGGTTCAATGGGGTCGATCCATTCAATAGTTCTTCAAAGTGTTCTACTAACATGTTCGTCTGTTCTTGAATCTCAGTGACTGCTTTGCCTTATTTGTCCTTGACTGGTTGCTCTGGTTCACCATACTTCCCTGTTAGTTTCTTCTTCGTGTCACACATTTGTCTCATGTTTCCTACTGCAGTTTTTTCCGCTGTCGGTGCTAGCTCGTAAACACTTTTCCACTTGTCGGCCCTAATGCTCTTCATTACTTGCTTGTTTACTTCTGTGTATTCAGCTTGGGCCTTGAATTTATCTGTTCACGTCCAACTGTTGTTCATTGCTGTCTTCTTGTTCTTCCTTTCATGAATCTTGACCAGGGTTTCGACAGAGATCCATTCCTTATGATGATGCTTCTTATGACCCATTACCTCGTGACACGTTGAAGTTAGCGCTTCTCCGGTCCATTTCCAGTTCCTTCTTCTTTGAGTAGATCTTGTAATGCTTGGAACCTGTTTTTATGAGCTATCTTGAATTCGTTGAGTTTGTTAGTATCTCGTAAGAAGGCTGTATTGAACCTTTTGTAATAACGATTTTTAATTAGCACAGGCTGTAAGCGGCTGACAAGATTCAGACGAAACAAAATGAATTCATTCATTTGGTGTCGTTTGCTTGTATCTTCCTATTAATGTTTAGGACTGCAATTGATCATTCTCTTGTTGGCATATATACATCCTTTGCGGATTGCCTCGACATTGCCTTAAATCACAAGCTTTATAAGCAAAGATGGATAGTGGCTAACAGTGGAATCCAGGACCGCGTTTCGTCTCACTTGAGACTCTTCGGCTGAATGTACATGCATCTCGCAGTTGGTGTTCACTCTAGGACTCGAACCCGGTACCGTTCTCTTCAAACGCCACCGCATTGTCTACTTAGCTACTGACTCAAACCCATACTGATGATAATCATGTACTCACTAGTGAATAGCTTTGAGACGGATTTCCTGGAGTTCTGTTGAGAAGCTGTGAACAGTGGAATCCAATACGTGTTGACTAAAGACAGTTATCCACCTCAGATAATGGATGAATGAATTAATTGTTTAGAACATGAAAGTGTAATTCAAATGAAGTAGTTTTTATGAGTGATAACGGTTTAGGAATATTGAAGATAATTTCATTATGCATTCAGGTAAGAATTTATGAAAACTATAGGAAGATGGAAAATATTTTGAGATGAACTCAATAAGACGTAATATTTAAATGAAAAATTATCAAGAGAATTAAAGATTAACCACAGAAATTTTGAAATACAAAGGCCGGGTTGTAGCCATCTATGCTTCTTTTTAATTCATGGGGAGAATCAATTATAAGAAAACACCTATTCATACCTCAGTTTTTTTGAAGAACTAAAGGTCGGTCTCATAAATAAGTTGTTTTTTTAATGACAGTCATAGTTGACTTCAAAAGATTCAGAGGAAAATTTGATGGTTAGTACTTTTACAAGTATAAATAAACCGTGATAATGAAATGGAGATCATGACCCATTAGATAATAAGCTGTCTGAAAAATTCGACGAATCTCTACTTCTAAAGCCTGTGGTTAAAAAGAAGCATACATAACGTAATCCAGTTGATCTAGTGATGCTAGTTTGATGTTGGTTACTATTGAAAAACTAAACATTCAGATACTTCTCTACTTTCAACCAATACATGGCTATCTCTGTTAATATGCTTTCTTGATCATATTAAATAATTTTCATAACAAACTTTTGGACGTAGAATCATCAACAATCTAATAGTCAGTCCCTATCGTGGGCCTATATCATCTAGAAAATTATTGAAAACCACTGAGGATTTGTTTCGCCCTAATTTATAGCTTCTCAACAACGCGTATTTTTAATCCTGTATAAATTGTGCTTGTGGGAATTAACTTCTCCAAATGATCTTAGTCCATCATTAGAACCGTTTTTATAATAAATAAATCCCCACAAACATCAGATTGAATGGTGTTTTTATGTTTTGTTTTCTTAAAGTAGTTTCTGGATTAGTCATAAAGTTAATGCACCGATTTAAATATGCATACGGAATTAGTTATATTGATATTTATATTATTGAATACAGTATCTTCATTAGTTTCTTATTTGTCCGTTTAAACCATCTTTTAATGAAATTAGCATCTATAAAGCCCTTTAGATAATAACAGAAAAAGAATATTTTGAATTTCATTACTAATGTAATTTAGTTTCTATAATGAAACTTTACTGAAATAAGCATATAGTAAAATAATCCATAACTGATATTCATCAAAATTAACAATATACAGTTTTTACCACTGTAGATTCATTAACAAGTTAACGTCAATACTGATCATCTTTTAGTGAATACACTGAATTCATAGTTATATACTCTTCATTGTTTAAATGTTCTTCTAAGCCAATTTGTGAATATTTCAAAGATAATAATGTACGACATTTTATGCAGATATTTCCAAGATCCAGCTGACATATACTACATGCATGTACATTTTCAGAATATTGTGAAGCATTCTCTATCGGTTTTTGTTTTTTTGATGGATAACATCCTTTACTGCACCAAAAACATGTAATACGTTTGATACTAAATCCTGCTAGAACACTCTTTGTTTTTGGAATATCTGTAAAACAACGACCATGTTTATCAATAGTGTCTCCCGATGTATATTTGAAGTCATTAAAAAGTTTACGATTATTTCGTATATGAGCGCGTAACCA